CTTCTGACAAAACTAGCGCAGTTTTTGTGTTTAAAATACTCTACCTTAGCTTATACCGTTGATCTTAAATTTGCTCCCAAAGCAACATTAAACAACTCTCATGTCGTGTCTCGTGAAGTCATCTGCCAATAAAACATATTTTTCGTTTCTTTGTCCGTTTCCGTATTTTTATGGTGAATTATCGAAAACAAAAAATAACAGAAAAGCACTAGCAAACAGCATGGCTGCATTCAAAGCTAGAAATCAAAGTAGAAGCTGTAACCGACACCAGCAGGAGTTGCTTCAGATCGTGTGTTTTTACATTGAGTTGAAAACTAGTTCAAAATGCGCACCAAAAGGACATGAATATATAAACTGGTTTTGTTATAAGAATATAAATTATTCACCAGTGTAACACTGGTGTCACTGAAAGAAAATGCTATTAAATAGCTTGGTATTATATAACAGTTTATCCCATACAAGGCTGATTCCAGTAGCTTCTCTTTTGGGCACCTTAATCTAATTTCACTTCAAGTCATCTCACATGTCAGTGCGTTCCACTTGTCAAAGTGAAGTAAGAGTTCCCACTTCCCCCCCCTCTCGCCCCTGGAGCCCGTGTTGGTTATGTTTATATATTTTCTGAGGATAGGCAAATTTTGGTTTACGATTTTTCTGACCTTTAGTTGTTCTAGAAATGACCTTTTCCATTCTGGACCCAACAATCTGCCAAAGCTGGTTATAATATAGATATATCAGAGCTTGCTTATATTATTTGATCAATTTGATGATACAGCACAACTGTCAAAGATGGTCATAATCAGGATAGTAAACTGAGACGAAAGCCGGCAGGGGTATCACGTATCTTGAAAAGTGACATTACGCCGATTTTTTTGACATTACGCTGGTTTTTTTTGACATTATGTAGGTTATTCTACAAGATGTTAACTTAGCACTTAGTTGTACGTGTTGCCTAAACGTCATGAGCCTTGCTATCCATCTTTGGCTCTGAAGTGATGTAAAATCTGCTTCTGAGATGGCATTACTGGAGGTCTAAGCTGTAAGTTGTATGTGTTGATGATAATTACACTGGTTTCTTGTCTCAAACATACTTAATTGAGATTTAAAGCTAGGAATTAGTTGCACATCCACTATTTCTTATGCATTCTGGAAATTACATATACAAATTTGCTGAATTTAAAAAACGAGAGAGATAAGAAATAATTATATTCACTGTACAGTATCGAATTACATGCTAACAGTAATTACACACAACGCGGGCGCGGTGATGATTTCCCGTAATTCTCCTCAGTTTTTCGTAATTTATAACTTTGAACATAACCTCTCTTCAGAAAGCAGAACATATAAATAAGCCGTGATATTCGGCATATTCAGTAATGATTTTCTCACACAGCAAATATCACTGATTTTATACACATGCAGACCAATACACATAATCATCCAGATGCGATCTTGCTATTCAACCAACTTTCTTCTCAGATATAAAAACTACAGACACGGATCACTCAGCCTCACAAAACTATGCAACCAATAATGCGTAGTTTAGTTGAGTGATTCCTCCATTGATGGACGTTCACAACAATCCTAGTGAGCAAACCTGGAATGACTGTTTGCCCCCCTAGTCTGCAGGTTGACATGTTATAGGTTTTTTTTGACGTCTTGTAGGTTTTTTACATGATAACAGTGCCGTTGTATGTAAGAATTTTCTGATACTTCATTTGCAATTTGAAGATTCAAATATTCTTCGAGAATTGATATCAACCTACCTCCAACAATCATAGATAGGTACTATGTTTGTGTTTTCACTATAAATCCAGAACCAGCGAATGCAAAAGATTTTTTTTTCAAAACTCCTACGCATATTCCTACCTCGCGACGTGTTCATCGTTAGACTTGGCAACCCTACGAGAGACCGCTAGATAGATATTTCCACCAGTCAAGACAATCAACAACCAAACCAAAAACATTTTATTTATCACTTTCGGAGTTTGGAGATCTCATTTTTCAGACTAATTCCTCATAATTTTAGGTCTATGTCTATAGTAAAATTATGCACCACGGAGACGTAGGGATTGACACGTTTTACACATACCGGTGTTTTACGATGAAGGAAAGGACATGCTGTTTTGATTGCTGTGAAGAAATTCATTAACCCATAATAAATGATTACTACCATGATGTAACGAAGTATGAGGAATTGGTTGGAATTCATATTATATCCTATTTTCTTGAAAAACACACACACAAACCCGCACATTTCAACATTTATGTAGCTATAATGATAACACTCAATATGTAGAGCTAAACAAAATCGAGATTGCCATGCAATAACAAATTTAAAAACATGCTGTTAAATTTAATATCTAGAAAATCCACCTGCTACTTCTGGCATTTTCATTGATGGGCCATCCGTCTTTTGTAAATTGATAAGAAATATCAAAGTTGTCATGTTTTCTCTGTATAAAAGCATCACGAAGGGATCAAAAAGTGCACTTGTTTATAATACAATCACTTTTTCACGATTTTATTCAATATCGCAATAGAAATTACTGATATTCAGAGAGCTTTGTCAATTTCCGTCAAATTGAATTTCGATAAGGTATTTTCCCATTGGTCCAAGTGGCCGTCAAATGTTAATTTTAATGATATCCAGATTAGTTTAGATTTTATCGCGAGTTCAAGCCAAGCTATTCTGGGCATATGCGATTTAATAAAATTGTCTCAAAAAATACGTTTTTTATCTTTGGGTTAGGATTCTGCCCTCTAGCGGCGAAAGTAAAAAGGTAAAAATGCAATGCTGAGGGAAGCAATAGCTACAACCCCGTAGCGCACAGCAAGTACGACCGATAGGTATGCGATCCAGCTGATAAAAATATTTTTGTTTCAAAGGCAAATCAATGATGTGTGAAATATGTCTTATAGGTGAAACAGAAATATGATTTATTTTATATAGTTTGAAATGTAGACGTCCACGATACATCGTACTTAAGTGGACACACCTTCAAGTTCCGCTTTGAAATTTGTGAATTCGAACGAAGGCGTGGGAAGTATAAAGTCAATCTGACGATTTTTTTCTGACATGACAATGAACGTTCAATCGACTTACAAAAAGATAATCTAACATTTGAAACTTGCCATGTGGTTTCCATGTCGATAATCCCCCATGTCTGTCTGTCCATTCAAACCACATGCGTTTAACATTCTTCTTTATTGTAATCGCTTCGGTCACAACGGTGGCCGTCTTCAGCGCACTGACTCTTTTGGATCGACTGGCCAGATAAACATCGGGGATGATTTACAAAAAATGTCATAAGTCACTACTATCATAAGAAGTTTCGTATATGTTAACTATGAATATAATGTAAAAAACGGAATCTGTATTTTGAGAATAGATATGCGCCCTCTAACAGCCATTTTAGGAAACCGGAATTGATTTCAAGCTATTTCTCTTGTCCACTGCAGATTTTTCACATGATAGCTCTAGGTTAAGTGGTTGCCGAGACACAGCCGGCGTCCTTTGCAATGGCCCAACACAAGCTAAAAAATATAGAGTAGCTTTCAAGTGGAAGTGAATAAAAATAAAAGTAAATTTGTTGTTAAAAGTTTCCACCAAATTGGACTAATGCTTTTTTTGGTCGCTGAAAAGCAATCACTCCATGAATTCTTGACGAATTAACAATATTTCATAAAGTGCCGTAATCTGTTTTAAAAAATTCACTGCACACGTTTCATTTTAATAATTCAACATCACATAAAAGCTTGTTCGGCAGTTTAATGCATTGGAAGCACGCAAAAATTTCACAAAATCAATTCTACGTTTCAAGTTCATGAAATTTAAAGCAAAATGGTATATACGATCATATTTGTATACGTGTACACACTCCTACCACTCAATTTCTAACAAAACGAAAAACTCCAAAACGTCACCATACCTTTGCATACTCTTCAACTTTGTGATTTTTATACTTCTCATTTTGCAGATGCCACAATTCTTACATAGAGATTCGTGAAGCTGGTGGCATATCATGGATACAGAAAATCTGTAACTATTACCGTAAGACTCAAAGTACCTCTTATTGCTTAACATTGTTACCGCCTTTTCTAAGCCCGCCCAGAAAAGATGTTCCATTGAATAAACCTCCTCTTCTGCACTCACGCAACAAACTTGATTGACAGAAAACCTTTCATTACATTATCAATAAGAACTAAAACTGGTTAGAGTGAAAGAAAAGCAACTTTTGGCTAGTAAATGACACAAAACAAATTCATATTTCTCTTTACAAGCCAAGGCTTAAAAAAGCTCGATCTTCTATACTGCTACGTATAGGTCCCAAACCGTAAGTAGGTTTAAAGTTAGATAGAACTGTGAGTCTAGACGTAGCCAACATCAGTAGGATTAGTGTAATCCGTAGGCCATGGATTAGAACTTGACGTCCATAGGCTAGATTTAACAAAGGTTGGTAAGACCAAGCCAAGAGTAAGCCTAGAAGTGAGCCAAGGGGGTGACGCCCAACCATTGTGCCTAATTCAACATACACCTACATGAATTTAGCACATAGCAGTCTTAACTTACGTCAGCTGCAGAAAATTAGTTCGTGGTGTCAGTTTTGCTTCGGCTGCAAATATTCATAGAGATGGGTGGAATAAGGATCTTAGGAACAATAGAAGCCTTACAACATACTTTTTGAAATCTGAATTTGACTATTTCACAGTGAAAACATGACAGTGGAAATGTTTCAGTACTATGATACTAATCTTTTGACGCTAAAGAAGGAGTCTGCCAGGGAGATCTACTGCCTGAGCAGCTTTCAATATTTTACTCGAACAAACTATGCAAGAAGCCAACATAAATAGGACTGGTCTAATATATTTCAAAACCATTAATGCCCTAGCATTTGTTGAGGATCTAGTAATTCTGGACTAGAAAAAAGCGCGTAGTAAGGGACCATGCATGAAGTCAGAAAAGATAAAATACATGAGATGGGTAGCTAAAGAAATTAATAATGGCTACAACATCCACAAATTTGAAAGATAAAAAGGGTAAGAACAAGAAGATAAAAAAAATAATGTCTGGAAATCAAGCCATCCGCGAAGGACTGCTTAGAAATAAAGTTATATGAAGTAAGGGTATACAAAACGCTAACAAGGCCAAGTACGCATGTGAAACGTGGACAATAACAAGAGCATATCAAGCAAAGTTGGGAATAAGGGAACGGAAAGTATGGAGGAAGATTTTTGGTGGTGAAATGTTGGACGATGGCACGTTGATATGACGGACAAACACAAAGCTGAATGAATTGTTTAAAGAGTCCAAAATAGCAGTAGTTGTAGAGTCCCAGAGGTTGAGATGACTGGAGCATATAAAAGGAATGGCTGATGATAGGATACCAATCATATTACTGACCCACTCATTAGGAGGAAAGAAGAGAAGAGGCAGACCCAGGGTCTTGTAGTCCTAGTTTATATACGTTACTAGTCTGAAGTTTTAGTTTGGCTGATTAAAAGCATTTCTCTATGCGCGTAATCCCACAACGAATTTGGAACCCTAAATTCACTTTCACCAGATTTTCGTTTGATATGCAACCATCTTATCCATTAAAATAAGCCTCGTAGTGTAGTAGGGTAGAGCCTTATTTGAACATGATGCAGATTAAAGTGATATGAAGTTTGATGTGGTAAACAACGATAAAGGATGAAAGGCAAGTTAGTTATCTGATCACGTGTGAAGGGATCCATCTGAAGTAACACCCAGCATTTATAGCAGAAAATCAATAATTATGTTTTGTACAGGGTGGCACTCACTTGAACATGTGTTCCAAAGTTAAAAATCGATAAAAATAGCATAGTTCTTAACAGCTCACCACAACAAGTAGTCCAAGGGTACAACTCACAGCTTTGAGGTGGTCAATTGACATCGGAATTTCGGTTTTCGAAAACGGTGTCCAAAAGTTCGACCGTTGGATTGGCTGTGTGGTAACTTGCGCCCTCTTGTTGAAATTAAATGTAACTCTTTAAACATTGATTACTTCCATCGTTACAAACTATACGAGAAACGAGAAAACTAATACGATTGTAATACTACCCCAGCCTACAGAGTAACACCACCCGTGGCAATAACTAAAACACCCGAAGAAAGTATTCAGCAAACTTGGTAAACATCTGAAAGTTATTTTAAGCACATGACGTGGAGACTGTACCGTCAGAAGTTGCTACAAACAGAAGGGAAAGTCCTGACTTGGATAAGGGATTTTTTTTTATACTCCAACTACCACGAAGGCCTAAGGCCTAAGCACCCATTGGGTACCGTGGGGCTATAGGTGGATACATGGGAAAGGGGGAACGCCACACGGACTCTGGCGAGGGAACACGGGCAACATGCACACATTCTGGCTCCGCCTACGAGATCCGCCGGGTGGTACGTCCGCGTTCGACAGTCAGAGACCGTCTACCACCTACGGACAATCACAACATCCATAGCCAAAAGAAAAATTTCTCCTGGGACGGTACTCGAACCCGCACAGCGCACGGCGACTGATCAGGAGACCGAAGAGTCTACTACTGCGGCCACCGCTGCTGCCTAAGCTGGGAAGAGGCCTTGTGAATCTATGGGAGTTGTTGCCAAGTAGGGAAGATTCAAGGACGTGACGATGGCGATAATAGCCATTATGCTATAGAATCGGACCTGTAATAATTGATAAATCTCTTTAAATGGAGGAAACATTTCACCCCAAATTTGACAGAACAACACTTTAGAATTTCTTTACGGATATATTCAAACTCAACCTGATTATACGAACAGGCATACGTTACCGATAGCGATCTCTAACGCTTCGAAGTCGTATTTGTCCGTACAGTAGTCGGTGACTGTGCCTGGGAACCGACCGTGTGAGTTCTGCCTATATAGCGTCGCATAATAAACGAATTTTTTTGTAGCGGGATCGTGGACACGATCGCTGACAGGTTGGCGACAGCTGTAGGAATAGGACTTATGTAGGATGTACATACATACATTTATCTTAATTTGATCAGATACATTTAGAGTGTTTTCGGATATTGTTTAAGCGAATTGCCATTTGAACCACATTTAGAGCACTTTAGTCTTCACTGTCTATGTATTTATTACCCAAAACATATTTCCACTGCTCACTTAATCACGGTTTTGGGCAGGACCGTTGTGGTGCCATAAGAAATGAGTAAACAGATTGACTAATGGACAGAGTGCGTAGCAGGGAGGATCCGAAACGCAGCTGCTACTCACTCTTGCTCAAGCACGTGAATTGGGTGATATAGGACCGTTGTTTTCACTCACTTCTGGACAATACTTCTCAATACATACCGTCGACATTGTAGATATACTCTTATCTTCAGTTATACTACGTTTTATATTGAAGAACAACTAAAGCAAACCCAAATCGTAAGCTCAACAAGATGTCATACTGACAGTGACAAGCACAGTTGTGGAGGCTCAAACGTTGAGAGAGAAAATTTTCAAGGCGGTGAGACAAAACTAAATACGTATGTCTTTGGGTTTACACAAACAAACGTCCCTGCATAGAGGCTGATTGCATATGTACGTATGAAGGAGATGTATGTAACAAAGTAATTCCTATAGTTTTACTGTGTTCTATCGAAAACTGTGAAAATGCCTATATAGATTACATTTGCTGAACGATATATGAAAAATACATCAAAATTTTAAAACGCATACAACTACAAGTGTATACGCGTATACAATGATGTAATTTACATTATGTAGAAAATGCGCCCAGCACTGTGTGTAAATGACGCCTTTGATGCAGCTACTTCTACCTCTCAAACCACTAAGAAAGAAAAACTTGGGGCTTATCGGAAAAGGCAAAGCTGGAAAGACACGTAATTCCCTATCATGGAATGAAGTTCCCTCAACCGAAAAGAGAACTCCGTTCGGTGGAAAAAACACACATGCGATATACAGGAGATCAAAGTCCTTTTGTTTTTCGACTTGTAGCTACGATGTTGTATAGTTTAGCAACACCGGCTAAAGATAGAGGTAGTAGCGATGAGTTCTAACTTGTAAGCCGAAAGATGCATGATGTACAATGTGTGGTCAATATGGTGATTTCTTCGGTCAGTAGTGCAAAAGGTCAATTCTATAAGTCTCCAAATATGTGCTGGTCCAATATATTGCGCTTCTATCAAACAGTCTAGTATACATGTTCTTTTCATAACACGAACCTATCGATTTGCATCAAAATTTTGTAACTTGGAAATGTAGTTGTTTTCAGTTAATTGTATCCGAGTTAGCCATTAGGCACACCCAACAATGCAGAAAATTGAATATTAAGGGTTGTTTCAGTGTTCGTTTAGATATTTGTATCATGGTTGGCTTTTGTATATTCGCCCAGACCGCAGAACAATACGAAGTTTTGAAAGGCATGTTACTAATATGGATGAGCTAATCAAATTTTATGTTACCGTTACCAGACGGGAAACTTCTACGTAAAGTGAAACAGCGGAACGTTATTAACTTTATATATATGAAATTTTGTTGAAACTAGACAATAAAAGCAAAAACAACAAACGAGAAATTAGTGCAAACAGACGGCAGACCCAAAATAAGGCATCCTTTTGGAAATACTAGTTAATTAATAAAAGTTGAGATGTATCTCTTTATTTGTACAAACCGCATGTTTCTGGTATTAGTAGTCTCAAAATAAACTAGTGAAACCAACTTGAATTGAATACTATATTTTAACATTGTTGAAAAGTTAATGTTCTAGGGCAATAAATTATTCATAAGGAACTTTAAAAAGGGGTATCACAAGACTGCCATTGCTTTAAAAATATGTTACAAAAGTGGCCCAGTCGCCATCTTGAAATTTTTGAATACCTATTTTAAACTAAAGTATAATGTTTATGCATCAATTTTATTACCCTGAATTACAGCTTGCTACCTTGATCCGTTCAAAGTCAAGTAGGGTACCTTTTTGACAAACACTATAGACCACAAAGAATAATGGCACAAGTTATTATACAAAATAATATACAAGCCTCTTCTACGGAGATTCATCTACAGGTTTCCTGTGCGCTTACAGGTATATTAGTCACAGTTATGAATTCTTGAGAAGGTCATACAATTTAGCCAAAAGGTACGAATCATCTTTGTCGAATGTCCAAAACATAGTCTATTATAGGCAGCATCCCTAATGTTTCACTTTTTTGTTTAAACTGATCTGCCAAGAATATCTAGCACTTTGGAAGTATGTTAGGTATAGATGCGAAAATAGCACTGCATTTTTTGGTACAAGAAAGGTGGCTCCATTTATTTGAAAAGTAAGGTATGGAACAAAGAACCTAGTATGCCATGGCCGAGATCTGGTATCCGCATGCAACCCACAACTTTATCGGCTGTATGCATTCTACTCCTAGATATAATCGAAAGTTCTCGCGTCAGTATATAGAAACGCGCTCTAACTTATCGGCGGACTGTTATCGTCTCCATAGCACACTTTATTCCCCGACTGTGCATTTACTGGGCGACCCCTATCAAACCCCAATCGTTCTGTGGGGTGCACGCGTGGATTACTATCGTTATAATATATATGAATATATACGGGAACAGGGGATAAAGATCTAATGTGCTCCTACGGTACACATACCTACGCCATAGCCCTGGGACAAAGGATTCCGACCCGAACACTATAAGTGTGGTTACGCAGGAAAATATGGAAAACTGATATTATAAATGAAAGTTTGATATGATTACCTTACCTTACCTTACCTTGATACTGATGGTTTACTTCGTGTATTTCATTTTGTGTCGACAAAAAATCTAGCAATAGGCGATAGCAGTGGCTTGAAGAATATTGTAACGACTTTAACCTAGGGGGTGTTCGCTCCACGTTGAGCGTTGAGCATTCTCGCTGGTGTCAAGGCTCAAATGAAGAGATAATTCTCAACAAATGTATTACCGTGCAAATAAAAGTACAAAACTTAAAATAGGTACTTTTTGGCCCTGAGTGACATCACGTGTCAAGCCGTCTAGTTTTTTATGAACCGAT